ACAACTTGCATTTATATAGCGCCCTTCACCCCAGGCGGCCTCTCAGAGCGCTTGCCTGAACTTGCCTCGATAGCAGCAGAGCAACGCACTCCTCTTTTCTCCTCCGAAGTGCTCCGTTCTCTTGGTTTATCCCTTACGGCTTAGGTTCCAGGTGGTTTCACGTGTGAAGTATTGAGGGTAATCACCCCTCAGACCCCCTCCCCTCCCCAGCCCTCCCAGCATGTGAAGGGCGTGATATAAATGCAAGTTGCCGTTGCTGTTGTTGTTGTTGGCCTATCCTGTCCTCGCTCCCGGCTCCATCCTCTGCCAGCGGCAAACAGCTAACCACTCGATGTACTTCCATTTGTAAGTGTTTTTTTTATATAAATCATTTTTTTTTAACCAAAGAAAACAAATGGATGTTGTTTTGATGATGTTGTTTCCACGAGCGAAGTCAGTCCTGTGACTGACACCTTCCTTCCTGTTGTTTACCTCTGGTACGTATGTACATACATACATCCATGCCTGGGTTGTACTGTATCTCAGTCCTGTTCCGTGGCTGAGCCTGACCTGCCTGACTACAGCTGCAGGGCAGAGCGGGCAAGCGAGGGCTGCGATATTAGACCTGACATCACTGTCCACTCCATGTCCTGGGAGACGGAAGACATCTCCTCACCGTGGGAATAGATGGATGGAGTGTCACAATCTCCCCAAGGCTGTGTTATCCATCACCCCAGACAGCGAACCCCATGTAGCAGAGATGAAGACAGTGCCTGAAGGCTGGATTGTGTGAGCTTCAACACGCTCGATGCCACATATGGCTGAGAGATTTCCTTCCACCTCCGAATCCGATTACCGCAGGGATTCTCTGACCGCTGGAGTGGAGATGTTTACAGAAACAAACGGACGGACGGACGGCCGACACACATTCGATAGTTTTCTTTTAGGAAATAACATCATGGGACACATTACGTAGGTAGATCGGGACATATGTGCCTGCGACCAGCAGGAAGGTGGAAGGCAAACTGGATGGACCTTGGGTTTTTTTCTTATGTTCTTACGTATGTTCCTCTGACTCGCTCTGCTGGTCTAGCGATTGGCTCCATCACTCCTTGTGTTGGCTCTGTTTCTGGGAACTAATGTTGACGAAAACCTGAATCCAGTCAATAAACAGAGAGAAAGACCCAGCTTCGCACCACACACACCGAGAATGTAGGAACATCTCATCACCTCGAGTCTGATAGCGCTTCACTGAATTGCTGTTTAGTGTAGTGACTGTTTTTGTAGGAAAATGCTATCGCTATGGCGACTTGTTCTGATTGTCATGCACATCAACACGTGGGAATATTGAGAATGATGGGAAGATCCGGGTATTCAATGAGACTGTGAGAGTGTGTGTGTGTGAGAGAGAGAAAGAAAGGGAGTGTGTGAAAGAGAGGGAGTGTGTGTGTGAGAGAGTGGAACAGAAATGGTGAGCGAGCAAAGTGTTAGAGAGAAAATGGGAGAGAGCGTTAGTGTGAGAGTGAGGCAGAGAATGTCTTGAGTCTCTGTGAATGAGTATGAATGCTTGTGAGCATATTTATGAGTGCGTTTGAGAGTGAACGAATGTGTCAGTGTTAGTTTGCCGTACCAGAGGATCGATTAAACCTGTGAAAGGGATTATTTTACTCTTGAGATTTCCCGTTTTAAACCAGCGCAAATGAGTGGAA